TAAATTAAAACTATTAAAAATAAATAAAAAGAATATATTAATATAAGATAATAGTAATTTTTACTATTTGCACTGCATAACAAAAGACAATTTAAATTATAAAAGGCTTAAAATATTATTAACAATTGTTGCTCATTTAAAATATGTACGTACTTTCACAATTCATACTACCTGAAATTTGAATTAAAAAAACATTTTTAAAATTATAAGTAGGCCATCAAAATTTTAAACTTACTAATATAATTTGTGAATAATACGGAGTTTTGAATCTTTCACAATTAGTATCATATGAACTTAAAGATTGTTTCACAACAAATATCAAATAAGACTCTACTTTTAAAAATGGTAAGTGTAACTCATTAAAAAGTTCACACTAAATGACATTAAAAAGACTCAAACTAATTTTTAATAAAATTCACATAACAGCTCATTATTTGAGTCAATCTCATTCGTTAAATTATACAATTTTTTTTATCATAAAAAACTTTGTTTTCTTTTATTTCATAAAAGAATAATTATAGACAAGGTGAAAATTTAAAACGAAATTTAGAATGAATAACATGAAATGAAAATTTTATATTACGTTATTAAATTAATTAATGTATATAATATTATAAATGAAAAAAATTATTGACTAATATATATAATTTATCTTTTAAATAACGTAATGTAAATCACATCAATAATTTTATATTTTAATTTTAAAATTTCATCATATTTATCATTATTTATGGTAAAATAACTGGTAAACTGTGGATACAAACCAAAGGCAGTAGTAACCTACAATGTTCATTACCGTATCCCAAAAAAAAAAAGGTTAAATGATAAATTTGGTCCCTCAATTTTAAAAAATGCACATTTTTGATCCCTCAATAATTTTTTACACTTTTTTGATCCCTCAACTATAAGAAATGCACACCGTTAGTTCTTTTGTTAATTTCAGCCGTTAACTCCGCCTATGTGGCATTTTTTATATTGTTTTTGATGATGTGGAGAGCAAAATTTAAAAAAGTGATGATATGGACAAACGTTTTGACATGTCATGTTACCGTGACTCAAAGGCACCAAATCCACTCAAATGGGCCCCACATCACCAATAAAGAAATATGTCTTTTGATGACATGGTGCTAAATCCACTCAAATGGGCCCCACATCACCAATAAAGAAA